TATAAATCCCAGCAACTCCAGCATTACCAAATGACAAAATCAATCACCCCCAACCCCACCAGTATTCAAATTTGGGTGTATCAGGTATTTGTGCCAAATTTGGTCCAGTGACTGAAAATACATCCTGCATATCAGATATTTACATTACAATTCATAACAGTAGCAAAATTACAGTTATGAAGTAGCAATGAAAATAACGTTATGGTTGGGGGTCACCACAACATGAGGACCTGTACTAAGGGGTCGCGGCATTAGGGAGGTTGAGAACCACTGTTCTAGAAGTATTCTCTCCTGACATTTTGCCTGCAACCTCTGAGGATGCCTGCCATAGATGCAGGTGAAATGTCAGGAGAGAATGCTTCTAGAACATGGCCATACATCTCAAAAAAACCTGTAACAACCCACTAAGCTTGTCTTGAAAGAGACTTGGTACAGGATCAATGCAGGGAAGAGGAGAAAATAATCTATTTGCAGTTCTTCTCTGGGACTGGCATTTTAATTCAACAGCAGAATTAAACCGTAAGAATTTAGTGCTCTGTGTGTATGAGAGAGAGACTGAGAGAGAATCTCTGCACTGCAGAAAATGGAAATCTGTGACTTGGATAAACTGTACATATTGACATATTCATGAGCCTCACCTGACTTATTACTTCCTCACATTTACTAAATTCCACTGAGTGCTAAAATCTGGGAAGCTACTCTTGTCATCACATTAGTTTGGCTCCAAGTGTAGGATAGAGCATTCTTTGCGTAATTTAAGTATGAGATCCAGCATTCTTTTAAAATATTTCATGAAGTGATGGGGAAGTGGATTTTTAAAAATAATCATCTAGATGTTTGGCCATTTTTGTAATGTTATGGCATTCGTTGCTCCCAGGTTCACAATGAAATGTTTCCCCTATTTGTGGGAGGAGCCAAAAGTACCCTTGTAAGGGAAAGCATTACCTTCTGCTCACGGAGTTTTTACTCTTTCCAGGCTCTTCCCCCTCCCCCTCCCCCTCCCCCTCCCCCTTCCCTTCCCCTTCCCCTTCCCCTTCCTCTTCCTTCCATGATATGTCTGTGCCTTTTGTTGCATGGGAAAGCCAGGAGAGAAAGATTATTATTATTATTATTATTATTATTATTATTATTATGCCATGTCTCCATGCTGTGCAGTCCTGGGAGTCATAGTTTTCCAAGGTCCATACCCTTCTCTTGGTGCATTTACAGTATTGAATGAATGCCCTTGCACCCCACTTTAAATGCCATGGCTCCGTGCGATGGAGTCCTCCTGGGAGTTATAGTTTCCCAAGGTCATACTTGCTATAGATATCTACAGAAGCATCAACACTGTGGAATTGAGATTGGTGTTAATACATGTACATGGGGAATGTACCAAAAAAGTGTTGTTTGGATTGCTTTCTATTCAGATGTGCAGACTGCTGTGTTTCGCCCTCTCTTTCTCCTCCAGTTTCTGTCCCTTCTTGCACAACTATATGGTAGTGGTGATAATGGTCACAGACTTTCTAGTCAGTTTATTTTTTTCTTCCTTAATGAAGTGCAGTGTGTACTTATAAGTATATCTTCTGAGCATTTCCTCTATTCATATTTGCTTTTGTGGTTGTGAAAAGAGGGAATCACAGGAAACAGCAAGTTTCACATCTCATAAGGTAGGTTAAGTTTATGGAGGAGAAATGATTGAGATAACAGTCGTCCCCCAATAAGAAACTGGTGCAAAAATTCTGGGTTTTGTAGCTAAGATCATGGTTTCCTCCTGTTTTTCTATCTCTGAACCTCAACATTATTTTTATTCTCGAGATTTAACCTGTATCTGCAGGGGCCATTTTTTTTTATCATGTCAGAAGCAACTTGAGAAAATACAAGTTGCTTCTGGTGTGAGTCACAGTGGTGCAGTGGGTTCAACCCTTGTGCTGGCTGAACCGCTGACCTGAAGGTTGGCGGTTTGAATCTGCGAGATGGAGTGAACTCCTGTCTGTCAGCTCCAGCTTCCTATGTGAGGACATGAGAAAAGTCTCCCACAGGATGGTAAAACATCCAGGCATTTGCAACGTCCCTGCAGACAGCCAATTCTCTTACACCAGAAGTGACTTGCAGAGGCCAAATAAAGTGTACTCACTTTAAATCCTCTACAAGCTTCCAACCATTAATCCAGCACAAGGATAACCGTAAATTATTCTGGAGCTTTTAGGAAACTCTGGAGCGACCCAGTATTTTTGGCATGCGGACAGCTGGATCAAGATGGATCTGGGGTGACCCAATACCATCAAAAAGGCCTACTACTCTTTCACCCTCCAGAAACAACTCCAAGTAGCTCCCGAGCAGAGTTTTCCGGTTTTACATCTGATGTGATGCAAGAGGCACAAATGTCTATCATGCCATAGCCACATGCTTACTGTATGGCCACACTGATGCCTGAAGTTTTCCTATTGTATTGAGGCTTATTGCTCTAAATTGGTTAAAAAGTCCTCAAAATATTTTGTGCTAGCATTGCATGAATGGACAGACTTTTATGAAATATCTTTGAACTGTCTAATTTGTGCAGGAATCATAGAATCATACAGTTGGAAGAGACCTCATGGGCCATCCAGTCCAACCTCCTGCCAAGAAGCAGGAAAATCAGATTCAAAGCACTCCCGACAGATGGCCATCCAGCCTCTGCTTAAAAGCCTCCAAAGAAGGAGCCTCCACCACACTCCGAGGCAGAGAGTTCCACTGCTGAACACAGCTCTCCCAGTTAGGAAGTTCTTCCTCATGTTCAGGTGGAATCGCCTTTCCTGTAGTTTGAAGCCATTGTTCCACATCCTAGTCTCCAGGGCAGCAGAAAACAAGCATTTCTCCCTCATATAATCTCTAATTGCATTTCCTTCTACGAACTTACACAATCTTTTCGATCTTCTGGGGAGGCCCTCCTCTTGCTCTTCGTCGCAAGCACAGCTTGTGGGAATAAGGGAAAGGGCTTTCTCCATGGTGGCCCCTCAGCTCTGGAACTCGCTACCCAGGGATATTAGGCAAGCACCCACCCTGGCAGCCTTTAGAAAGAGCCTTATTGTATTTTATTTTGCCTTATTGTAATTTCTTGGGCTTGGTCTCATGTTAACCGCCCCAAGTCCCCTTGGGGAGACGCTGGCGGAATATAAATAAAGATTATTATTATTATTATTATTATTATTATTATTATTAAAAATGAGGTGTGCCTTAGAATTGCAGTGTTTTTAATAAATATAAATAAACCCTTTCCCCCCTTTTGGTGGTACTAAAATTGTTGTTGTTCATTCGTTCAGTCGTCTCCGACTCTTCGTGACCTCATGGACCAGCCCACGCCAGAGCTCCCTGTCGGCCGTCACCACCCCCAGCTCCTTCAAGGTCAGTCCAGTCACTTCAAGGATGCCATCCATCCATCTTGCCCTTGGTCGGCCCCTCTTCCTTTTACCTTCCACTTTCCACAACATAATTGTCTTGTCTAAGCTTTGCTGTCTCCTCATTATGTGGCCAAAGTACTACAACTTTGTTTCTAGTATCCTTCCCTCCAATGAGCAGTCGGGCTTTATTTCCTGGAGGATGGACTGGTTGGATCTTCTCGCAGTCCAAGGCACTCTCAGAACTTTCCTCCAACCACAGTTCAAAAGCATCTATCTTCCTTTGCTCAGCCTTCCCTAAGGTCCAGCTCTCACATCCGTAGGTTACTACGGAAATACCATTGCTTTGACTATGCGGATCTTTTGTTGCCAGTGTGATGTCTCTCTTTACTATTTAAAATGATCTTCACAGATTAGAGAGATGATTGGCCAAAACTACAAAATGAAGTTCAACAGGGACAAATGTAAGATACTCCACTTGGGCAGAAAAAAAGAAATGCAAAGATACAGAATGGGGCACGCGTGGTTCGAGAGCAGTATGTGAAAAAGATCTTGGAGTCCTCGTGGACAAGTTAAACATGAGCCAACAATGTGATGTGGCGGCAAAAAAAGCCAATGGGATTTTGGCCTGCATCAATAGGAGTATAGTGTCTAGATCAGGGAAGTCATGCTACCCCTCTATTCTGCTTTGGTTAGACCACACCTGGAATACTGTGTCCAATTCTGGGCACCACAATTCAAGAGAGATATTGACAAGCTGGAATGTGTCTAGAGGAGGGCGACTAAAATGATTAAGGGTCTGGAGAACAAGCCCTATGAAGAGCGGTTTAAAGAGCTGGGCATGTTTAGCCTGAAGAAGAGAAGGCTGAGAGGAGATATGATAGCCATGTATAAATATGTGAGAGGAAGCCACAGGGAGGAGGGAGCAAGCTTGTTTTCTGCTTCCTTGGAGACTAGGACAATGGCTTCAAACTACAAGAAAGGAGATTCCATCTGAACATGAGGAAGAACTTCCTGACTGTGAGAGCCGTTCAGCAGTGGAACTCTCTGCCCCGGAGTGGTGGAGGCTCCTTCTTTGGAAGCTTTTAAACAGAGGCTGGATGGCCATCTGTCAGGGGTGATTTGAATGCAATATTCCTGCTTCTTGGCAGGGGGTTGGACTGGATGGCCCATGAGGTCTCTTCCAACTCTTTGATTCTATGATTTGATTCTATGTTTCTATCCTCTGTCTTCTTTTTGAGTTGTTTTTGAAATGTCCTCAGTTGCTCTATATGGAGTCCTACATACAAAAGTAACTTGCATTAAATTTACTCAAGGGAAGAGTTGATCTCTCTTTTTCCTGTGGAAACTGGAAGGAAATTATCTCTCCAATACCTGTGCTGGAGTATTCTGATAGAGATGGTCTACTCTAGACCCTTTTTGGATATGGGACTTTTTGAGTTTGCTTGGAGCCTTAGCTATAAATAGACTCCAGGAATCCAGTGATGGGGAGGGAAGGATACTCAGTAACCGGGATTCAAGCCAACCTGGACTAGACCTTGACTTCTCCCCATGTGTTGGGTGATGGCTTTTTTGGATGCTGTCCAAGCTGAGTTATGTTTATCTCTTAGGTTCATTGGCCAAGCAGGGTCAGATGGGCAACAGTGTCTGGTGTCAGGAGGGAGGAGGAAGAGGGTGGTGTAAAGGGGCTGTATAGGAAGGGCAAAGGCAAAGGCAACAGGCACAACGTGAAGGAGACGAGTCCTCCATCTTGGACGCCGTCTGACCAACAGGATTATTCCTCATCTCTGGCTTTCAACATGATTCCCTGGTGGAGGGCCACGCAGCTGGTGGCTCAGCGAAGAACTCTTGTAACAGCAGCTGCTGGTGGTGGGCACCAAGGTGGTGGGTCAGGTGGTAAGTCAAGTCATTAATGATGGTTGAAAAATGGCCCACCTGTTAGCAACACTGTTTTGTCTGTCTGGTTTTATGCCATTGTCTTGGTGGCTTAGTCAATGTATACACTTGTTATTATTTTTAAGATCTGGAGTCAGAAATCATATACAGTAGAGTCTTGCTTATCCAACCTTCACTCATTCAATGTTCTGTATTATCCAACACAGTCTGCCTCTCGCCCGGATCCACAGCTGTTTCAATACATCACAGTGTTTTGGTGCTAAATTCTAAGTACAGTAATTACTACATAATGTTACTGTTGATTTGTTGTAAAACATGATGTTTTGGTACTTAATTTGTAAAATCATCATGTAATTTGACGTTTAATAGGCTTTTCCTTAATTCCTCCTTATTATCCAACAATTTCGCTTTTCCAACATTCTGCTGACCCGTTTATGTTGAATAAGCGAGACTCTAATGTACCAGTAAATCATCTCGGTAATATCTTTTAGCATTATTTATTTCCACCTGATGCCTTACTTCTGAAGCCTACGTTTTGTTAAACCACTGAGCTGCTGAACTTGCTTACCGAAAGGTTGCAGCTTCAAATCTGGGGAGTGGGGTGAGCTCCTGCAGTTAGGCCCAGCTTTTGCCAACCTAGCAATTTGAAAACATGGAAATGTGAGTAAATCAAAAGGTACTGCTCAGGCGGGAAGGTAACAGCACTCCATGCAGTCATGCTGGCCACATGATCCTGGAGATGCCTCTGGACAATGCTGGCTCTTTAACTTAGAAATGGAGAGGAACACCAAGCCTCAGAGTCGGACACGACTGGACTTAATGTCAAGGGAAAACCTTTACCTTTACCTAAAGACATAACCTGTTGCCAATTAACTAACCTGTAGAACCCATTATATGTTTTGTTAAGTTTGTGTGTACAGAATGCCACATTGGTCAATTTATTTATTTACTATATTTGTACTCCGCCCTTCTCAACCCGAGGGCGACTCAGCAGCTTCACATAAAGTGACAGAATTTGATGCCTTAAAAAAATACAGTTGGTAAAAACAGAATTAAAACAAATAAAAACAGTTACATCAATTATTACATCACGACATCCAAAGTCATAGTCCAGGTACATTCCAAAATTGTCATGGTTCATTTATTGCACTGCAGTTATTCTCCAAAAGTTTGGTAGCCATGTTTTGACTTTTTTCTGAAGTTAACAGGGAAGGAGCTGATTGAATATAACTGGGGAGGGAGTTCCATAGCTGGGGGCTACCACTGAGAAGGCCCTATCTCTTGTCACCACCGGGATTGTGGCGCAGCTGGCTGAGTGTCAGCTGCATTAAGATCACTCTGACCAAAAGGTCATGAGTTCGAAGCCAGCCCGGTTGGAGTGGGTTTCCAACCAATTGTGTAGCCTGTTGTCGACCTTTGCAACCCGAAAGACAGTTGCATCTGTCAAGTAGGAAAATAAGGTACCACCTTAAAATGTGGGGAGGCTAAATTAACTAATTTATGAGGCCATAAAAAACTTCAGCAAAAGCATGCGGGGAATGCGGAAGTACTTCATCAGTGTCGCAGATGGACGATGAAAGCGACAGCTCCCCTGGCGGCCAGAAAAAGTTAAATAGCCTCTGTGTATATGTTTGTATGTCAAAAATTGGCATTGAATGTTTGCCATATATGTGTACACTGTAATCCGCCCTGAGTCCCCTGCAGGGTGAGAAGGGCGGAATATAAAAGCTGTAAATAAATAGATAAATAAATAAATAAACCATACCTGTGACAGAGGTGGGACCGAAAGCCAGGCCTCCCCAGGAGATCTTAATGTTTGTGATGGTTCATAACAAGTGATTGAGAGGGCGGCAGCGGAGCAGTTGCAGCAGTTCCTAGACGACACTGCCGGATTAGATCCCTTCCAGTCTGGCTTCCGTGTGGGGCATGGGACAGAGACTGTGTTAGTCTCCATCACGGATCACCTTTGATGCCAGCTTGACCAAGGTGGGTCAGCTCTGCTTGTGTTATTGGATCTCACAGCAGCATTTGACACAGTCGATTACAATCTTTTGATCCATTGCCTTGCTGTTGTTAGAGTCAGGGGGACAGCTTTAAATTGGCTGTTCTCCTTTCTTCACAACCGTGGACAGTGAGTGGAGAGGGGAGGCCTGGTCTCTGAGAGGTCCCCTCTATCTTGTGGGGTTCCTCAGGGAGCCATTCTCTCCCCTCTGTTATTTAACATCTATATGCGCCCACTTGCTCAGCTGGTCCAAAGTTACCAGTACGCTGATGACACTCAGCTTATGTTGAAGATGGAAGGCTGACCGGACTCTGTACCCGATAATTTTCATCAATGCCTTGAGGCCGTTACTGGATGGCTGCGTGCCAGCAGGTTGAGGGTGAACCCGGCAAAAATGGAGATTCTGTGGCTAGGTCGACCAGGCAGTGGGGATATCCAGCTGCCTACCCTGGATGGCGAGGCGCTTCGCCCGTCATCATTGATAAAGAATCTGGGAGTCCTTTTGGACCCTCTGCTGACGATGGAGCTCAGGTCTCCGCCGTTAGCAGAACTGCCTTTTTTCATCTGCGGCAGGCTAGACGGCTGGCCCCCGACCTGTCCAGGGACGACTTAGTTATGGTGATCCAGGCCACGGTCATCTCAAGACTGGACTACTGTAACGCCCTCTACATTGGCCTTCCTCTGTCGGTGATCCGGAAGCTCAAGTTGGTACAAAATGCAGCTGCTCGGCTTCTTGCAAGAACTCCAATGAGATGCCACGTAACACCAATCTTACTGCAGCTGCATTGGTTACCAATTGAGCACCGGATCACTTTTAAAGTGATGGTACTTACCTTTAAGGTCTTATATGGTCTGGGGCCGATGTACCTGAGGGACCGCCTCACCCCCTACCAACCCCAGAGATCACTCTATTCTGAGGACCAAGATTTATTGGAAGTTCCCAGTTTTAAAACCTTGTGTCTAACAGCAACCAGACGCAGAGCCTTTACAGCAGTGGCACCATCGCTTTGGAACACTCTGCCACAAGAAGTTTGTGCCTTGCGGGATTTATCAGCTTTCCGCAGGGCTTGTAAGACATATTTGTTTCGACAGACTTTTGATCTTTGATATGTTAATTTGTGTTAAATTCTAGTTTGTTCTTGTAAGCCGCTCTGAGCCCTAGGGGAGTGGTGACATATAAGCTTGAAATATAAATAAATAAATAAATAAAGGTTCATCCTGGGTTGGTAGGGAGGAAGAATCCATAGATTGCTGAAAGGAGTTCTTTCGATTCTCAGTAGGGAGATGACAGGTGGAAAATCAGTTTGCCTGGCTTACTCTGGTCACCAATCCAGAAAATAGTGACCATAATTTGTTTTCTGATCTGCATCTGTTTCTGAAAAGTCCATGTCTGGGGTTTTGCATTATTACAGTGTGAACCCAGTGAATTTCTAGTTCATCCCTCGTTTATGTTCTGCAACCCCTTTTGTTGTGATTGAGTCTGCTGGCACTGATAGTAACTCTAGTTGTATTAGGAGAGGCAGGAAAAATACTCGCGAGCAAGACTCTGAGGAAGAACAACAGAGGAGATACTTAGTGAGATACTTAGTGAGCCAACAGATGAGGATTCTTTTGAAGTTTTTGATGCAAATGATATGGATGATGGGATATCAGACTCTGGGTCGGATGGGTTGGATTGGACAAGGGTTCAAGAGATTCGGGATATTTGTGCTGAACCCACAAGCAGTGGCACGTTTGAGGGTTGGAGTAGTGAAGACACGGATGGGTCTTGGGGAACTTCAGGATTAGACCAGAGATGGACTACTTGGAGGAGTGGTGGTAGAAGCACAGCTGGGGATGGGTTGGGCCGAACTAGGGGCAATTCCAGTTCGGATGAGGAATTGCAACAGGATGCAGCTGGACCAAGGGTGTTGGCTGAATCTTCTGATGAGGATTTGTAGATAAAAGGGGTATGTTTGCAATGGTAACTTTGCAATCAGCAAGGTGTCTTGTTGGGCGCTTGGTGTTACAGAAGATGGGTTTGAGAGAAGACTTTTGGACGTAAGTTATGCTCTGGGTTTAAGCAACAAAGGGGGCTGGAATTGTGTGGGTTTCTCCTGGACTGCACTGTTTTTGATGTTTTGCATTAGCTGCTGGATTGCATCGTTGTTTGGGCTGCTTGTGAAATTCCTTTGAAACGGGACCTCAACTTGCAGCTATTTGCTTTGCTTCGGACTGGATTGGACTTCAACTGTCAGTGTTACTCTTTAGGCCTGTTTGATCAAGAAAAAATTTGTTTCTAAAATCGATTTGTAATTGGGGTGTTTTTTTGTTTCGATATTTAAAATAATTACAAAACTTTCCCCCAAAAAAGTTTTGGTATTTACGAAATTTTGTAAATATTAACGAATTTTTAGAATATTTTTTGTATTTTTTAAGAATAATATTAAAATAATATTAAAAATATTTAAAAATGGAAAATTAACCAAAAAATGGCCCAAATGTGGACCAAACACAGGCAGGAGACAGCAAATGAGAGCACACACCAACAGAAGAGTCTTTTCTTTTTTAGAGTATTTTTTAAGAATAATATTAAAATAATATTAAAAATAATATTAAAATAATATTAAAAAATATTTTAAATGGAAAATTAACCAAAAAATGGCCCAAATGTGGACCAAACACAGGCAGGATACAGCAAATGAGAGCACACACCAACAGAAGAGTCTTTTCTTTTTTAGAATATTTTTTAAATAATATTAAAATAATATTAAAGAATAATATTAAAATAATATTAAAAAATATTTTAAAATGGAAAATTAACCAAAAAATGGCCCAAATGTGGACCAAACACAGGCAGGATACAGCAAATGAGAGCACACAGCAACAGAAGAGTCTTTTCTTTTTTAGAATATTTTTTGTATTTTTTAAGAATAATATTTAAATAATATTAAAAAATAATATTAAAAAATATTTAAAAATGGAAAATTAACCAAAAAATTAAGAAACAAATTCACAAAAACCGAAGAAAGTAATGAATCCAAGCAAGGAATATAAGCAGCACTCACAGCAGCAATGAATGAATCCAAGCAAGGAATGAATCCAATCCAGTTGCTAGCCAAGCCAAGCCAACCCAATGCAAACCCTCCCGGACCTCTTCTCTCTCCCTCGCCCTCTGCAGCAATGAGCTACGGCCGCGCGGAGCCGCTTTGAAAGGGCTCGCCGGCCAATCAAAAACAAACAGCCACGGTGCACTGCTTGGGAGCGCCGGATTGGCTCCCAGACACCAGCACAGCCTCCATCCCATTAACGAAACGAGCGGAAGCTCGTTAAATCTATGGGGGCTGCCGGTTCGATACTTTGTTTATAGAAAAAAACAAAAAAATTATAAAAAACCAGATCGAGAAGAAAAAAAAAAAGGGGGGCGAACGAGAAAGGGACTACAAGAAGGGCGGATAACATAGAAGGGTGGAGGAAGGGAGAGAGGGGGGACAGAGAGAAGGAAGGAAGAGGGAGGGGGGGGGGAAGGAAGGAGGGGAAAAGGGAGGAGAGGGAGGGGGAAGAGGGAGAGGGAGGGGAGAGGGAGAGGGAGGGGAGAAGGGAAAGGGGAGAGGGGGAAGAGGAGGGGAGAGAGGGGAAGAAGGAGAAGGAAGAGGGGGAAGAGAGAGGGAAGGAAGGAGAGAAAAAGGGAGAGAGGGGAGAAGGGAGAGGGGAGAGGAGGAAGGGAGGGAAGGAGAGAGAGGGAGGAGGAGGGAGGAGGAGGAAGGGAGGGAGGGAGGGAGGAAGGGAGGAAAGAGGGAAGGAGGAGAGAGAAAGAGGGGAAGGAGGGAGAGGAGGGAAAAGAAAAGGAAGGGAGAAAGGAAACCTTGACACCTTTCCTTTTTGCAACACAGCGTGGACATGGAAGATCCTGTCCTTTGTGGTGGTGCTCCCTGGAGTAGTTGTATGTATGCTGAATGTGTGGCTGCAACAGTCAAACCACCCCCATGAACGCCCCAAGTTCATTCCCTATCACCACCTACGCATAATAAAGGTAATTATTAAACATGGGAGGTTTCTCCTGGATGGGGAGGTCGATGGTCTGCCTGATTGAGCTGGCAAGGCTGTAAAGCTTTGGAACACAAGTATCTGAAGGACTTCCTGCCCCTTCTTACACTTGCAGCTACTCATTAGATTCCTCATTCCTAGAATGGGGACAATAAAGGATCTTTATGCTAGTGACATTCCATTTCGGGTATTTGTGCCTCTTGGTAGCTAATCTGGTGCATTTTTATGGGGTGGTATTGCAAATAGCAATAAGTAACCATCAAAATTCCTTAGTAGCAACATTGAGAATCGGGAAGTAGCTGTTAAAAATATTGTGTTCTATTGAAATACTAAATTGAAGTACTGATTTCAGTTACATTAGCCATGTACCATTAACCTATTGTCCACAATCACACGTTGCATGATGCCTTTATGAAGGACTCACATTACAACATACAGAATTTGGGGCTCTTGTTCGGTCTGTATATAAAAAAAGGAAAGGCTTCCCAAAAAGCAAATAGAGAGCATCCCTTATCATACAGGACAACTGACAGCCTTATAAGATAACAGTTTTATAGACTTCAAAAAAGGGATATCACTTATAATAAGGGGCACATGGCAACCCTATTTAGGACACAAAGATAAGCCCTTAGAAGTATTCTCCCCTGATATTTCACCTGCATCTATGGCAGGCATCCTCAGAGGTCTGAGGTGAGACCTCACACCTCTGAGGATGCCTGCCATAGATGCAGGCGAAATGTCAGGAGAGAATACTTCTAGGACATGGCCATATAGCCCAAAAAACCTACAATACCCAGTGATTCCGGCCATGAAAGCCTTTGACAACACATTAAGACAAGCTTTGATGAAAACATTAAAAGCATTCTGAAATACAGCTGAAGTCATCTGCCCACTTGCCTATCACGCACATCCCCATAAAGTAAGATGTAGCTTTTTACTGAAAAACATATTTCTCAGATAATCTATAATCTCATGTTCTGTTTTACCCAGTTCTTTAAACAGTTTTTCTCTTCACATCAGCAATTATCAAATTCCTGGATTTCTCAGCAGGCCCAAACAGCAAAATGGCCCCTCCATGGGAAAAGTTTATCTCATATCAGTTAATGAGAGGAGGCATGTTGGCCATGGATAAATATGTGAGGGGAAGTCACAGGGAAGAGGGAGCAAACTTGTTTTCTGCTGCCCTGGAGACTAGGATGCGGAGCAATGGCTTCAAACTACAGGAAAGGAGGTTCAACCTGAACATTAGGAAGAACTTCCTAACTGTGAGAGCTGTTCAGCAGTGGAACTCTCTGCCCTGGAGTGAGGTGGAGGCTCCTTCTTTAGAGGCTTTTAAACAAGCTGGATGGCCATCTGTCAGGGGTGCTTTGAATGTAATTTTCTTGCTTCTTAGCAGGGGGTTGATCTGGATAGCTCACGAAGTCTCTTCCAACTCTATAATTCTATGACAACAGTGGAGATAGGCTACTGCTCTTCAGTCCCGCTTGTACATTTTTTCCTGGTACATCTGGCTAGCCACTGTGTAAAACAGGATGCTGGGCTCAATAGTCCTGTCCTGATTAGTCTCATCCTCTCAACTTAAGAACACAAAATGTTGGTGGAGAGATTTAAGAAATTTAAAGATGGGCTGAAAGCCAATCTTAAAAATGTGGTATAAACATCAAGAACTGAGAAGCCCTGACATTTGAGCATTGTAACTGGAGGTCAGCCATTATCAACAGTGTTATGAAGAAGCACAAATACAGGGTGAAAGTCAGAAACATGCTGAGAAGAAGACGTGTCAAGCAAACCCTTGTTGTGACCACCTTCCATCTGGATACCTATGTCCCCAGTATGAAAGACCATGTGGATCCAGAAGATGAAAGTCCATGTGGATCCAGAAGATGCCTTCACAGTTATTTACAGGCTCACCACTAAGACTCTACCTTTGGAAGACAATCATATTCAGCCAGAGTGATCGCCCATGAATTAATGGGCTTGTCTTACATTCTTCAGATAAGCCTGTGACAGTCACAGAGTTCCTAAAATCATAGAGGAAGGTTCTTAGTAGGCAGCGCCTTTGTCAGGAGGAGGGGAGTCTGTGCTTTGAGGCGTGGGGTCAATAGGTTCAGTGGCTTCGTTGCCAGGCTCAGCCTCACTCAGCATGTGCTTATACTGGCGTTTGAAGAATCCAACCTGGAGAATGAGTGAGAAAGGAGAAAAGAAAGAGAAGCAGATGAAAGTAAAGGCAAAAGTACAGGTGCAGTTTTTTTAATTCTTCCTCTACACATAAAGAGATCAATATCCAGTAGCATTCTAGCCTCACGGGGAGAAAATATGTAAAAACTACCGTGCATATTTGATATATTCACACCTTTCAAAGTCTGTCAGCTAATTACCCATTGCAGTAATCCATGTGGTTTTTCTGTAATAAAAAACAAAACAAACAAACCCACAACTCTATGTGTGGGGTGGGGGTTCAAAACATGCTTCTAGACAGGAAGCACATTTTCTATCCAAAAAAGCAAATCTGCACAGGAAAACCATGTGCATGTTCGCTGCTTCCATGTTCTTATTACAAGCAATTCCTTATAAAGAAGAAATCCATTCCTCTTTAAGAAAGCTAATGGTAAAATTGTTTCCAGGGGGAAAAAAATGAAGTTCCAGGATGCTGATGTTCCTAAAAAAGCTTTATGCTTCAACACTTGAGTCCTAAGAGGAAAAGAACTGGGCTTCAAATCAGCCTGGAAATGTCAAAGTTGTCCAAAATTCAGGCCGTATCTGACCATCTAATGCAGTTTGAAGTTAGCTTCAAACTGTGGCAGCCAGACAACAAACACGCACAAAAGTCTATAAAAGAAAGCCCTTAATGTGCACCAGTGCTCTGAAGTTTGTGTAATCACTTCTCAGACCTCAATCTGGTTCCATGATTTCCTGCCTATTTATTTATTTGGGTTGCTGTAAGTTCCAGAATTCTTCTGGAACATGGCCATACAGCCAGAAAAATGTATAGAAACCCAGTGATTCTAGCCATGAAAGCCTTCAACAACATATTTACTTACTTACTTACTACATTTATATACTGCTTTTCTCCCCCTAAGGGAACTCGAAGCGATTTCCAACATTATAAAGGCAAAATTCAATGCCATACATACATGTGAATATTCATTTATTTCACTCTGCAGGTGTAATCACTTGCACAGTGAAACCACTTTCTTCAGTAATAGTTTCAAACTGCATTAAAACTGGTCAGTGTAGATGAAGCACGAGACATCCAGCAACCAGCTAAGATGATATCAGTGATAACAGATGGGTGTTCAGAGACTTACGATCTTATCAAATTGAGAGGGGAAAGCATGGGTGATCATCCTTTTAGCCAAGAGAATCGCCCCTCTTATATTGTCAGCAATCTCATTTGGAGTTCTGCCTCCCCATCACACTCACATGTGGAAACTTAGGAGCTGGCAAGGCCATAGCCAGAGAGGGGTTAAGGGTTCTAATCCCCCCCCCAAGGTTCTAACCCCCCCCCAAACCTGGTTAGTCAAGAATTTTAACTGGTTAACTAAGTTATGAGTAAACCAAGTTTCTTTTTTTAATCTGACACACTTCAGGGCAGGGCTAAATGTTTAACCTCCCCCACCCCCTCTGTCCCTGGGAGCTGGCAATACATTCATCTTACATTCATCACAAAGTCAGTATTACTTTTTTTTAAAATCAGGAGAAACAACAATATTCAAGAACCAAGAGGCCCCTTGTCCTATCCAAAGCCCCTCACATTAAAGAAGACTGACACCAGTTCTAAACCACTTCTTTCCATGGGATAAAACTGTTCTGTCCCAAAAGCCACAGGGTACAAGAGACAGTTATCCAGGTTTAAACAATTTCTTTCCATTGGATAATATTATTCTGCATCAAACTCCATTGGATACAAGAGACTGCTGATGGTTGGGCAATGAAATAACACAGGAAACTTTGATGGTTCCCATCCCACCTGTTTTTCAGTTGGAACCACTGGAGCAAAGTGTGATAAGAGGGAGGAGCTCAGGACATTTCCACCTCATTTCAACCCTGGAACATATGATGAGCTCTGTGCTCCTTCATGCTTGAAAAAAGGCTGAAATGTCCTATGAGGGGGAAATTTCTCTATATGATAAGTTCAATTGCTAGACTTTTCTCCTTTCATGAGGTTTCTGCCTCTTTTCAACCAAGGAGGGCTATACATGATGACCTGAAGTAGTTTAACTCATATAATGAACTCAGTGCCTCTCCATGCATGAAAAGATGCTGAAGTGTCCTATGCCAGGGAAATTCCTCAATGGAATAAGGTGGTTGCTTTTTCTTTGATTTGTACCTTCACATGCACCAACATAAGGCAACGTAGACCCTGCTCTCCCTCCATCTTTTGAATCCACCCCAAGCACCACCTCACCTTGTACAGGACTGCAACAATCAGAGCGAGAAGGACAAGTCCACCAACTGTGCTGCCAATGATCATAGGAAGGAAATTGTAGTGCTCTATGCACTCCACCACTGTCTGCACCTGGAGTGAGAAGGAGTGGTAAAGACAATGGGCAGAGTGAGATTTATCCCCATCCAAGGAATCATCCAAGGTTGATTCAACAACTGGAAGTCAACACAATCTGCTATTCTCAATATATTATATATGCATTGTGTCAAATCCATGGGGTCCCAGTGGGAGGCATGGAAGACCTGCCACTCCATGCTCCGTATTGCTAGCCCACCTTGACCCCTGTCCCATGAGGGGGAAGCGTCGCCACCCGGCTCCCCTCCATTGCTCCTATGGCAACACAGGAATCCTCCTATGTTGCCGCCACTGTGGTGTACACCACTTGATCTCCCCTTTTGGCACAGAGCCTGGGTAAAAGTCCCTGTGCTCCATGTCGAAAGTGGAGAGCAAGCAGAGCACAAGCAAATCGGTCCATCTGATAAGGTGGTAAAAAAGAATACTCAAATGCTTGGCTGTGACTGGTCTGTCCTTGTCCTCCAAGTTACAATTACATTCATCCATTGGATTAAAAAACAAACAAACAAGAATTTAAGCACTGATTGTAAGAACCGTTAGGTACCCTGGTGGAAGGAAGTGGGAGGGCTTCTGCCAACCTAGCAGTTTGAAAACATGCAAATGTGAGTAGATCAATAGGTACCGCTTCTGTGGGAAGGTAACTGTGCTCCATGCAGTCATGCTAGCCACATGACCTAGGAGGTGTCTACGAACAATGCCAGTTCTTTGGCTTAGAAATGGAGATGAGCACCAACCCCCAGTATCGGACATGACTAGACTTAATGTCAGGGTAAACCTTTACCTTTACTGTGAGAATCATGGGGAGATGTGCACACTCTTCAACATTTCACAGATGAAGACTGGGACACGCATGGTCAAGCAAGATCAGAGTGTGATCAAAATGGTAAAATGTATGAATCAGAAAGGACACACAATCTAGAACAGTCTCGAGTAGTTAGATTTTACCTGGGCCAACTGAGAATTGCAAGACTCTGCCCCCAATTTTCCTCTCCCCTCAAATGACTGAATTGAGTCCAAACTACTTTTGTATTGGGAATTCAGTTTGCAGCAATTGAAATAAGATGAGTACAATGCAGGGAAATGAGAGAACGAAAGAGAAACCTGGCCATTTTAAAAGAAGCTGAAAAAGTAGGAAGAAAGAGGACTAACAGGGACTGACCCTGCCAAATCAGTAATGTTGGAGACCATGGACTTGTTTTCCTCCTCTGCCTCACTTACCTTGGTCTGGATAAAGCCTTCCTTTTGTGAGTACTTTTTGTCATCATAGGAAATCTTTGCCAAGCTCACCAAAGTCACTTTCTTCTGCCGGATCTGGAAGAGAGAAGTTGTTCAGACTTAGGAACTCTATGTTCCCAAGATATTCCCCCAAGTAAGATTCTGTATGGTTGGTTAAAATGATGAATTCTTTGATAGGCACCAATTATTTATTATTTATTATTTTAT